TTCCTCAATTTGCCAGTGGGAGACAACTTGCAGGCTGTTGCCACTGTGGTGTTGAGCTGTAATTATCACAGGATTGACTGTGCTGCCTGTTGCTCATCAGATGGCCGTGACTGAGCTCCTTCTCCCTAAATTGCAGGGAGCCACCTCCTGAATTGATGATTAAAAACTTGGAGCAAGGAGTGTGTTTTTATCCCAGCTTAATGCAGAATGCACTACGTGATGGGCTCTTATTCCTTAAAGAAAAAAATTAAAAAAAAATGAAAAGAAAATAAGATATTGCAGTAGAGAACTCCATCAGTTTGTTTCCTGTTGCCAACACACCCCAACACTCACTCCTACTCCTCTGACCTCTGCCCCTTGAGCAGAGAGGAAAGCAGTGAGGCAGAAAAAACACGTTTTTTCTGCTTTTTCCACATATATTTTAGGTGCATGTATTCTATATATGSACCTAAAAGCACATAAAAGAACTGCAAAATAAATATTGGGGTTTGCTCCTCCAATCAGCATGAGGCAATGAGAGGTGCCTCTATTAGATGGTTTCCTTTATTATTTAATGTTTGTGTGTCTACAGTAATTATGGACAGCTGATAAAAAGCAGTTTTAGTGTTTTGTGAATGTGCTGATATTGCTGTAAGTAATCACAACACTGTGGGACACACTGCACTAATTATTTCTCCCCTACCTTCTTTTCCCACTTAATTTAGTCTCAAAAATTTCATTCTGCTTCACAGCTTTTACCAGACAGCGTTTCCAATGTATCACCCTCTTTATTGCTAGATGAAATATTATTGATGTTTTGTTTTGGCATTTCCTTCCCTAGGAAGAGATGCCTTGTTTGGGACAATTTCAAAAGCCATCCATTACGGGTGAAAAGCTCACYTGGCATGACAGTGCTGGAATTTCTTTCACCAGCTTCCAGGGAAGGTGGGAAACAATTCTGCAGAGCTGACAGGACAGGGAGCCAGACCCTCATCAGCATAAATCAGAGAGGTTTTGCTGAAGATGAGGGAGTTATTTTTTGTTTAAGGAGCTGACCAAGTGTTCTCTGTGCAGCAGTGCTGGAGTGGCATCAAACCAACCCCAGGAATTGCTGCTGCAGTAGGGGTTTTTGTTATTATTTTTGTTAGGAAAATTAATCCACAAACACCAGAGGTTTATGTCCAAAAAGGAGACAGAAGAATCCTGTTACTTTATCTGAATAAAGGGGGAGGCCATGGGGCATTTCCTCAGGGGCTCTCAAATTGTTAGAAGATGCAGCCTCCTTTTTATCCCAAATTTTATCCCTGGCCACATTTTCCTCTCTCTTTCTCCATTGCTGAGCTACTTGAGAGGTGCAGACTTCCCTCCCTTGTAATGTCCTTTTTCTTTGTGTCTCTGTTCTTTATTCTCTAAGTTCAGGGATTTAGCACAGCCTTGGGTCACTAGCAGTCTGTGTCAATTGATGGAATTCTGTGGAATTTATGGTTCC